TAACGAGTCTCCTATCTCACTACAAGAAAACTACCATTTAGCGATGGATAAATCCATCTCTATTAAGGGCAAATCCATCGCTAAAAGCATTTATCGAAGGATTTGTGATTGAAAATATTTATCTCCAAAATGCTTGTTGCTAACCCTAGCGACGGATGAACAATATCCATTGCTAGTTTAGCGATAGTTTTTTCATTGCTAAATCTTTATATTCCACCATTAATTGGTCATTGAAAACATAATCTTCCCATTAAATAATGTATCGCTATTCCATCGTAAAATCCATCGCTTATTAATAACTCGATATTCCATCACAATTTTCATCGATAAATGTAAAAAAAATTCAATGCTAATCGATTGCTAAGTTTATTAATTTTTTTAAATTGATAAATTTTTTTTGTAGACTTTAATTGTCATGAAACAGAATAAGAAAGAAAATAGCATTTCCTCTTCTCATGCCAAACATAGCCTTCGATTCTTCAGTTTTTTTCTTTTGTTAATTATAGTCTTGTTTTTATCTAATTCTCTAATGGATTATGGTAAAATCACAAATGAACTAGACTCTAAACATATATGATATACCCAACATCTTGTTATGATTTAAATTCATGAAAAGATGTTCGATGTTCAACAAAACTTAATTTTTTATGAAACACTTTCCATAAAAATATTCAACACACATTTCTATAATAGTCAAAGATTTCAACAGAATTTTCAAAATAAATAGATGGCCAAATAGTAGAAAAAAGTCATTCTTACCGTCATGGAAACATAGAATTAAACTAGAGATTTTTGTGTACAAATAATAATAATTAAAAAAAAACATGCTCTTTAGATGACTTTCTTGAACAACTGTAGGTGGTTTCTTGTATCATTCTTTTGGATGCAAAGATCGCTTTCTATGCCTTTTTCGCTTAATGAACCTAAGGAAGAACGTTACACAATATAAGCCTCTATGCTCAAACAATCAAGGTAAGAAAAAGAAAATTTTGAGATGAAGTCAAAACTATGAGATCAACTTAGTCCTATTGTTGATGTTACCGTATCAAACATCAACCTCCATCTGCAAGAAAGAAAAGAGAGCATTTCACTCATTGCTATGGACTTGGATTATAATGAGATAATAACAGAGGATTCAAGAACCCCGTTTCGGTATGCTTACTTAGGAATATTCACATTATGAGTTTTAAGCTACATATCTAGAAATTTTCTACGTTATGCAACTTCCGGATGGCTACCAAGGAAATTTATTGATTTTAGATATTATAGATATAAAGCTCTTAAAAGATATAAGGGATCCAGATTAGAGGAGTTGGTTTCGATGTTTATGAATAGGTTTGGATAGATGCACCAAGTGATAGAGATCTAAGAAACAAACTTCAAGCACGATCTCCTTCCCATCCCTCTAAAAATAAATAAATCGTCCCTAATATTCTCTTATCGACTTGAATGCAATTTCTTTTCTATCAAGAACATACCCGAGACAGTCCACATATTGCATAATAACACATTAATCATATCTAACCAAATCCTAATTAAGAATATGTGTAATTAATTACAAGAAATACCAGGTAGATAAATTTTCACCATTGTAGAAAGTCAAAACCATTAAAAAAATAACATAAACAATGAATCAAAAGCTAAAGAATATAATCAAAAGTCATAATATATGTAGAAATAAAAATGTGGACAAGTACCTTCATATAAAGTTTCTGCATGAGAAGTGCCCCTAAGTAAGTAGGTCATCGTATAAGGAGGTACCATTACCAAAAATTTATTGTTAGGGATAACTTTCGAAGACTTCAATCTTTGAAAAGGAGAAGGTTCTAGTTCTAGCAAACGAGGAAATGAACTAAGGACCTAATTATAAGAGACCAAAATTCCAAGTAAGAGATAATTATAAATAGCTTTTTTTAAGGAAAAGAAAGACAAGAGCAAAAATGTATATGTTTGCATTTATGGCCAGATGAAGCACATGAAAAAAAAATTATTTACAACTCTACTATTGATATAAATGTTCAAAGAATTCCTTGACAAGCAATAAAGCAACAAAAATAGTAATAGCAAGAAGACGCATAAGATCAATACATATAAATACCTCAATGGTTTCAAAATATAGCTTAACGGACTAATCACATCCGGATAGGCCTCCTATTTTTTCATTTTCTTTACAAGTACTAACATGAATATGGGCATAGTTAAGGGAGGAAAGGTATAGGCTAGAGAAATCCACTACATGAGAGATTTTGTAGATGAAAGACATGAAGTTTGGTGCAACAATCTCAATCTTGATTAGTAATCCTTTTTGTTTCATAAATCGAGGCCCAAAGATTTTAGGTTAAGGAATCAAAACCCATATATTTTCAAGATAGCTTAACACTAACACTAACAATTAACAAAATTAAACTAAAAATTAATAAAATTAACCTAACAACTAACAATAGTAAATTTTAATTAATGAAATTAATCTAATTAATAAAAAAATAAAAGAGAGAGAGAACTAACCAAAGGAGAGGAGGAAGAGGAGAGATTGCCATAGTAGTTTAAACGTGGTTTTTAGGAAGAGAGGGCACCTCGTATGAATGTGTCTACTGGGAGGGAGTGGGGTGGCAAGGGGTAGTGGTTGGAGTCGGTGGGGGCTGTAGCAAGAGAGGAGGAAGAGAGGGAAATGGGGAAAATAAAGAGGAAAAGAAAAAGACCGACAGTTTATAGGGATGTAGGATTAGCGACGAATGTGATTCCGTCGCTAATTCGTGACTAATTTGAATTTTAAAAGAGCATCAAATTTTCTAAACTTTTCAAAAATTTGAGAAATTAGCAACAAAATACATTTCATTGCTGATTAGCGATGGAATAAATAATGTAGTGATAGATTATATCTATCGCCGAGCCAACTTTGTTTTTTAGCAACGAAAATGGTATTTCGTTACTAAATTCCCTTGTTAATCTATCGTAATTCCGTTGCTGAATTTAGCAAGGATTTTTGCATGCTCTTTAGCAACATAATTTTTTTTATCGTAAATCTATCGCGAGTTCGTCTCAAATTATTGTATTTTTAATTTCATCATCATTCGATCGTTATTTAGTAGCTAATTAGAGATGGAATACAATTGATTTCTAATTGTTTATTTTCTTATGGTGTCTAATAGGTACCGATATTAATTCAAAATCAATCATATTTTGGTAATTAGGTCATTCTTCGATATACCAGTTATATCAAGACTTAAATTGGATCCGATGTTAAATTGACAAGACTTTCGACGTCGAGGTTCGATGATCGATTCAATATGATGCTATAGAAAAAAATAAAAAATTAATTTGGCTTAGATAAGAAACTAGAAAATTGGCTCGTAAATATTTTAGAAAAAATTAAAATTTTAGGATATAAAATTTTAGGATTAAACCGGACGTAGTACCTTTTTTCAAAAAGGGTGCCTTTAGGTGATTGATATATTTTCAAAGGCATAAACAATTTTTTGTTTTATAATCTCTAAACTAGAGTCAATTTTAGGTTTTTATTTTCTTTAATACTAGGTAGCGATTCTAAAAACTTAGTTTAACTCACATTTTCAAACAAATAATTTTTAATTTATTATTTTTGAAAGTCTCATAAACATTGTATAGCGACAAATATAATAAAAAATTAGACATTTAAATATAATAAAAATAAAAGATCAAATACTAAAATTACAATTTTTTCATAAGAAAACATATGATGCCGTGCTTAGTATAATTGATAATTAATTGCATTTGTTTCCGTCTTACCAAAAAAAGATTAGAGTTTTAGGGGACAATTCAAAATAACAATAACAATAATAATAATAGATAAATTAATAAATCAGCATTTATTATACAAAATTTGATTCAAAAACACCTTTCCAGTCTATAATCGTAAATGAGATGATCCAGGATCAAAATATTTTATTAAATATGAAAAAAAAGTCCTGATGCGAGAAATATGGTATTTGTTACAAGTGTTTGAAGGTAGTAGAAGGGCATAGAATGAGTAAATTATAAATTAGCCATTTTAATTTACAAAATGAATAAAATAGTATTTTTTCGTTTCAAAAACTAATTCATTAGTCCTTAATTAGTATTGATTATAATTAATTTAATATTATTTTATTTTAATTTTTTTCTTTTCTCATCAATATATATATTACTTTTTTCTATTTATTAAAAAAATTAAAAAGAAAAGAAAAAGATTAAGTTACAAATAAATTCAAAATTATAGGGACTAATAATTAGTTATTGAAACTATATGGACTATTTAATTTCTTTTAAAAAACTAAAGAAACTACTTTATAATTTACTGGAAATAAATTGTTACATGAATCTCTAACTTCTAAAGACTACTGTACGAAAAATATTTTAAGAGAAGGTTCATATTTGGCGTATCTACACCTCGATCCAGTACTCTCTCCTCTCTCTAGCAAAGCAGAAGGATAAGTAATTTAAAGATAGCACAAGGACATCTCTAAAGTTAAGAAATAGAAATAGTGATTTTAAGGTGAAAATACAGAAGTGGGGACAACCAATTCTTGGGAACGACAAAGCACACTTAATCACAAATAAGTGGGGTATTTTTCAGCTAGTTTTTATTCGAAAAAAACAAAGCACAAGAGGACATCCAAGTCTTGCAGGTCAAATATCAATTCCCTTCTTGGGATGACAAATAATAGGTTTGGCCAAACATTGAAAAAGACTTGATAAATTAATGCCTTTTTCCATCATTACCAATTAATTGCAAGTTGATCTCGTGCATCTGATCGAGAGCAAAGATGCTTATCTATAATTTCATGGGAAAAAAATGACCGCATTTCCATACAAAAATTACTGGCAGCTCAGCTTCCTGTGTTCTCGTGTCACCATCGCACCCATAACAAGTCATTCCTCATATACTTGGCACCATCCAAGCAGATTGAAACCCTTAGCCTTTCTCTAGCCCATTACAAGTTTCAGCTAGCTAGCTAGCAAGAAACAACTCACTAGTCATTTCTATGGCTAATGCTAGTGCATTATCATCAGTTACATTGGCCCCTGATGTTCATGCTCGAAAGGATGAGCTTCTTGTATCCAGTGACCGTAACTTTGCTGTTCACGGTGAGATTATGATGCTGGTTCTATTCTTGCTTTTCGCTTTATTTCTTCTGTTTATTCTCTACTTTATGTGCCTAAAGCGGTTAAAGGATGCCTCAAAACTCAGCCAATCGGAGCTGGTTTCGCCAAGGAATTTTACAATTTCTAATTTCAAAGGTCAGATCAGAGATGGGTATTTGATGCATCATTCTGTGGAGTCTAAGACAACCCAGCAACCTGTATAGAAATATAGGGACACTGCGTGATGCCTAAAACATGCTTGGCCTGGTTGCAAATTATGGGAGGCCGTAGGAAGACAGCGAGCATGGTGCCTAAAATGTGTTTTCACTGATGATTCCCAAGGAGAGTCATGGTGCCTATAATATCCACTGTTCAAAATTACTTGGCAGGATGCTCTCTCTCTCTCTCTCTCTATATGTATACACGCATGCTTCTTCTTTTCACAATTTCAAGTTCTTTACCGACTTTGTCATGAGTAATTAATGTGTGATTGGTTAGTGCATGATTTCCCATGATCATTACTTACTGCTGTAATGGATTCTTGTAATTTGTTTGATTTGATGTAATTATTCATCAAATCTATGTCAACTTACAGATGAGCATGTCATTTGCACTTCTTTCCTCCCATTTGTTTCTTCAAATTTGTGTTATAAAATGGTATACCGGCTTATCATTAAAAACAAAAAAAAGAAAAAAAAAAAGCGATTTCTAGTTCTGCTGTACACATATCTATCTTGTTAGTTTAGATCAGCGTTGTATATTCTTCCTAAATTAATCTACAAAAATCTTTTTTTGTTTTCAATAAGTTGTTTTCTTCATAAGAAATATTACATCATTTTTTCTCTTTATCCAAAGGTAGTAATTGGCCTGTTATGGATTTCTACTGTTCTATGATGGATATAAGTTATGTTAGTATAATGATTGTATATGCAGTAGTTTTTATGTAATAAAATATACTAGTTTTTGTATCCAACATGGTTGGGTTAAGGAAAAACAGCTATAATAATTTAAACAAATAGTTATAGATTCGAATTTTTATATATGTAGAAAAATTATTAAATAGTTGTATTTACATTATGCGCTCGATCGAATAACGAAAGATTAATCTAAACCTTTAAGCCTAAAAATACCTCAGAAAGAAAAAAAAAGAAAAAGAGAGAGACTAGTTGTAAGTTGGAGAGGACCCCTTAATTCCGTTTAAAAGATTATTTATATTGAAATGCGTTAAAACTAGCAAGATGACACCCTTATTGATAAACCTTAAAATAAATAAATAAATATTATGTGATGCATGTATGTTTGTGTATCTATATAATCAAAGTGGGTAGAAATTGGGGTTTGCATTATCTAGCAGTAATATTTTAGAATTCCGAATAAGTAATTGTGTTGCAATAATTATTTCTGACAGATGAAATGTAAACGAAGTTCCTGATTGCTGCCTCTGTCCTTTTCCTGGTTCGGACATGGAGAGCAGACAAAAATAACATACAGTAAACTGAACAAGTGGGGAGATATTTTCGGGCTGGTTTAAGACAATGCCATTTGCGTCTGGTTGCAATCATATATACACGGATACACCTTAGTCCTTAGCGTGTACATATATATACATTATGACCTCGATTACCTAATAGTTCACAAATAAGTTTACGTGGAACGGTTAACTGGTAGTTTTATAAATCATTTTGACAGATGAAAGCTTAATAAACAATTTAAAGGACTAAGTGTGTACTCGTTTTTTAAAAAATAATATTTTTTTGATCTGACTGTTTTCGAAGTCAAAAATTCAATCTAAGAACTCTCTTTCAAGCTATTTTTGTGTCCATATTCACAGAACAGCATAGATTGTTACTGTTTAAGAATTATAACTTTTCTATTTTTTTTATTCCAATTTAGATTTTAATTATTTTCAGATTTGAAGATGATTTATTGCTTTTTTATTTCACATTTAGGACTAACTATTTAACCTACTTTTAGTCCTTTGACTTACTGTCAATTGATTAATAAATTTCAGACTTAAAGATTCGTTGCAATTTTGTTGTTGTTCATGTTTTTAGGGTTTTTATTAATAATTAACAAATCATGTATCTTACTAGACGCTGCATCATACTCATATGTAATTTCAAAGCTATTGCTTAATAGTTAAGAATGAGAAAATTTTATAATACATAAAGAGAAATTAATGACATGTATAGTAGTTACTTCTTATATCCACTTTGAGGAGAGAGATAGACACATAAAAAAGAGAAATTACATCTATACCCATCAAAAGTGATAAAAAGATTTTCACGTCCGTTCAAATTTTTTTATTTTCTCTCTCCTTTTTTTCTCTCACTCTTTTTGTGTATCTATCTTTCTCCTCAAAATGGACCAAGGAAGTAACTACCGTACATGCCACTAGTTACTCTTTATGTATTATAAAATTTCTCGTTAAGAATGCTTGTTCTCTTTCTTAATTTATTAAGTTCGATTTGGACTTTGGGAAAGTTTATTCCTTTGAATACATAATTAAGATTCATATAAAGGATGTGTCTTTAAATCATTAAAAAATTAATTTTGATTTTTGAGCAAACTAATTCAAAAATATTTTTATCATCCAATAGAAAAAACAAACATTGATAAATTATGCGATTATTGTATAGGAAGCCCAATATAAACCATGCCATAAAAAAAAAAAAAAACCCTAGAATAGATCTCAAACATAAATTCTGTGTGTGTGAGTAAGTTATAAATCAGTATCTCTTGTTTTAAAAAATAAATAAATTAATTCTTGTCATTTCAAAAAATAATTATTTAGTTTACATATTTTAAAATTTATTTTTAATTTAGTTGTTTTTACTCTTTTTTAATTTAATTTATTTTTTTATTTTAAGAAATAAAAAAGAAAAAAATACAAAGCTTATTGAGAAAATAAGACATTTTGTAAAATAAAAACAATCTTATATCAAACATGATCAAAAAATGAGGAAAACTAATTCATTAATTTGTTTTTTTAAAACCAAAGGGACTTGTTTATAATTTATTCGTTGTGTGTTTGAGTTTTTATAAGAAGATTTGGAAGATTCTATCTTAACGAAATGATACTGATGGAATTGCAAATATATGGGCCCTCAATCTTAAAGTTCGTTATTAGCATGGGCTTTTATAATTGTTTAAAACCCGTTAGCAAAACTGGAACGAACTTTAAAAAGCCCATGCCTTTCTAACACATCCGGCGCTTCAAGAGGGCCCAAGCTCTTACTAATGTTGTATATATCCATAAAAGTGTTTTAGATATAGTTGTCTTGGACTCGTTCGCCAACTGGCCGATTAACTCAATTGATTAGAGCGTTTACCTAATAACGTGAAGGTCGTAGGTTCGAAACCCGCATGGGCCAGAATTATTTCTTTGATCTTGCAAATTTGTTTATTATTATTGTTTTGGTTAAATGGGCAAAATCTCCTTAGATATTAATTCCTTCATGTTTTTTTTTTTTTTTTGGTTAAATGGGCCAAATTTCCTTGAATATTAATTCATTCAAAAATCAGTCTCTCAATATTTTAATTTTGGATTTATTTCTTCTAAACTATTTTTTTATATATTTAATTCATCATATGATTCTTAACTATTACCTTCTAAAAAAAAAAATCAATTCTTGGTATTTTGACATAATGTTTTGCACATATGTTGAAAAAAATTCAATCCATGTTTTGAAAAAATCTAAAAAATTTTCAATGTAGGAAAGTATTTTTTATTTTATTTTCTAAATATTAAAAATGTAGAAAATAACCTAAAATGATTCCAAATGTTTTCGCTCTCCAAATAAAATTTACTGAATAATTTTTATTATAAAATTATCAATGTAACCGTTATTTTTGACAGAAAAAACTAAAGAATGACTAATTTTTACTTTTTTTTTTTTTTAAAAAAAAAGCTTAGAAATCTCCTTGAATGTTATTAATTCATTCAAAACTTAGTCTCTGAATTTTTTAATTTTGGATTTATTTCTCCTAAAATTTTTTTTTTAAGATTTAATTCATCATGTGATTCTTAACTATTACATCTTTTAAAAAGTTCAATTCTTGGTATATTGACCTAAGGTTTTGCACATAAGTTGAAAAAAACTCAATCATTTTGTGAAAAAATCCAAGAATTTTTCAAGATAGGAAAGTATTTTTATTTTTTTTAACATTAAAAATATAGAAAATAAAAAAAATAGAAAATCACCTGAAATGATTCCAAATGTTTTGGCTCTCCAGATAAACCTTATTGAATAGTTTTTATCATAGGATTATTTGTGTAACCATTGTTTTTTATAGAAAACTAAAGAATGAATATTTTTTTAAAAAATTGTTTTTTAGAAATCTCCTTGAATGTTATTAATTCATTCAAAACTTAGCCTCTCAATTTTCTAATTTTGGATTTTTTTTTTTTTGAGATTTAATTCATCATATGATTCTTAACTATTTCCTTTTTTAAAAAAAATTTAATTCTTAGTATTTTGACCTAATGTTTTGCACATGAGTTGAAAAAAAGATCCAATCCATTTTTTTGAAGGATCCAATAAATTTTCAAGATAGGAAAGTATTTTTTAATTTATTTTTATTTTCTGAAAATTAAAAATATAGAAAATAAAAAAATAGAAAGTAACTTAAAATGATTCCAAAGGTTTTGGTTCTCCAAATAAATCTTATTAAATAATTTTTATCATAAGATTATTTATGTAACCGTTATTTTTGACGAGAAAACTAAAGAATGACTATTTAAAAAAAAGTTTAGGGGAAGTCCAAGTTTTAAATAAACAAAAATTCAGAAAAGCTTCGATCCATTTAACTTCTTTTATTATTATTATTATTATTTAGAAATAAAATCTTAATAGAAATCTTGAATTTCCACCAAACACCTTCCATATATAACTTTGTCTGACCAGGGCCAATGTATCCTTATCTTCAAGTGGACCAAAATTTTAGATTGAGCTGCATCGCTCTCTATCACATCTTGGGCCTAGGGTGCTTAACCTGCAAGGCAATATTAAGCAGATTTGCTCTGGAGTAGGCGCGTATTTTATCATTATGGCTATCTTTAGAAGCATTTTTAATTACCTTCTAAATAAACCCCTTCTAGGTCTTATACTCTTAACGTATTTGTTAAATTTTGTTTGTTTTTGCCTCTAAAAATACAACGAGGATATCTACCACAGTTTCTTCAATCTGTTGTGTACAGGAGGATATTAGGGCATAAAGAAATAAATGAGGTCATTTTAGGACGGCGAACCATTATTTATGACGCAATATGTCTAAATTTGGTAATCCAGACTTGTTCTTGCTCATTATGCAAAGCCTTACCTTGTATTCTTGGATTTTTTTGGGATTTTCAATTGTATTACTTTTGGAAACCAATATTGTTTCCTATGGCCAACTAATTAATGTTCTTTGCCTGTGACAACCGAAAGTTTTTATATAAATAGCGGGCAAGTCCTATGAAAATTTCATTGCTCTCAAAGAACTTGCTAACTCTTCTATAAGTGAGCAAGGCGTCCTTCAAGTTTTATGTTTTTCTTTTTGTTATTCTTTTGTGTGTGTATGTATATTTGTTATTATGATACAGAAATATTAACATTGCTTATTTGCAGGACCAAATCTCTATCGACCTTTCAGAATGTTGAACCCTAAGAGAAATTACTCTTCCTACTTTCAAATGGAGGTGAATTCACGACCTAGGGCTCCCTCACTCCTTCCATCTGCTAGCGATTCCTTCGCTTCAGTGAAGCAACCTGGCTTTGTCAGTCCGAGTATTGGCAATAACTTCACTACTCGAGGCTTCTTTGAATTGAATCGAAGTGTTATTAAGTTCGACGAGACTCCGAAACATTTTCAAAATGTTGGGTCAAGTGATAATCCCATCTCTGGAATTAAAGTGCCTTCAATCCCAATTTCTTCTACCACCATAGCTGGACAACAAAATGTTGTGCGGCGCAGGCAGAGGCGCACCAATGCCCTAGAGTCAGAATCGCACGCCAAAAGGATTAAACGGTTGATTTATTTTTCTAACTTGTTATTTCTATATAGATCTCTATGCTTATTGATGCATGCTCATGCAATTTTCAAGTTATAAATTTAGCACATATATTTACTGAATATTTTCTTATGATACAAGTAAGACATGTCGTCCATCGCCAAATATAAATTTGTCGTAATACATTCATAATATATGTCATTAAATTTTTTTTTGAAGAAAATAAATAAAGACTAAAGTTATTTTCTTTAATAGATCTATATGCTTGTGTTTCAAAATTTAAATTTAACATATGAATAATTTTTTACCATGCATGACATGTCGTCGATCACTAAATATAAGTTTATTAGAATTTATTGACAATTAATACATGTCATAGGCAAAATTTTTATAGATGTCTTAGCATTACTAAACCTTTCAAATATGAAATGAATACAAAACATTGTTGTGTGCATGTAATTTAGTTTCTTAAGTTGTTCTTTCATTATGTGATCATTATGTGTATGTAGATCTGCGCATGCGCATGCGCATGCGGTTTCTAAATTCTAAATTTATTGAATATAATTTTACCACATTTATATCCATGCATGATATGTGGTCGATCCCCAAATATAAGTTCATTGGAACTTATTGGCAATATGCACAATCACCATAATTAATATTTAGGGTTACCATAGTATTCCTAGATCCTAAAATTAAGAAATGAATAAGAAATAATGTTGTATGTGCTAGCTAGTATATAATTTAGCTGGTATAGTTGTTTAGGGCTATACCACACGACCTAATTTAGGTTGCCTACTGTTTTGTAATACTTATTAATCACTATCTCAATACAGGAAGGGGAAAAAAAATAGAACAATGTTTTCATCTGGTAATTCTTCTGTTGGATATAGAGTTTCATATAATTGCCTATTTTTAGCTTGTGTGAATATTAAATGGCAAATTATTTGTAGAGTTCTCGCCAACAGAATGTCTGCTCAAAGATCCCGACTTCGGAAGCTGGCGTACTTAGAAAAACTCAAGATGAATGTCAAGCTGGGAGAGGTATTTGAATTTTATTTGTATTCTTGATCTCAGCTCCTTTCAAGACTAATTAACACTAATATATATCTAACAAATTATGATCCATGTTTCAAATATATAATTACAAATATGCAGGCTAGGGTATCTTGGTTAATTCCCCTAGTATCTCTCTACCGGCAACACCGCTTGGCTCTCAAAGATGCAAATTTCCGAATCAAGGAGACGATTAAAGTACTCGAGAAAATAAAGGAGGACAAAAGAGGTAATTACATATGCTACGTTTTCCAGAATTATTACGTACATTTGATTTGAACAATTAAAACCAGGCTATTCGCATTTTTGGGATATATATATTAAATATGTTATTATTAAAAAATAATATAAATTATATTTTAGATTTTTATTCAATAATTTAAATTTTTTAGTTGAAATGATTTTTTAGTTATAATACTAAAGTCTTTATGACTAAATAGCTGCAAATTTAAATCTCACGATTTTACATATACAAATTTTATGAACAAATGACTTTTACTTAAAAATTATATTAAAAAATAATATAAATAATATTTTGAAATCTCATCTAAAAATTTAAAGTTTTGAATTGAGATGGTTTTTTTTTATTTATTTGAGAGTTATGATATATATATATATATATATATATATATATATATATATATATATATATATGCAATGAGTTACAATATATTATAGTTACAATGCTATGTCTGATCCAACTCCATTTATTTAAATTTTTGTGCTCCGGCATGTAATTAACTAAGTCTATATGCTTGCAGCGGAGTTTCAGTATCTCAGAGAAGAAATACGGGCAATGAGGCGTGGTTCTCTGAGGATTGCTTGGTAAATGATATATCAGCTGGGGGAGTACTTTAGATTTTCAGAAATAAGTAAATAGGACAAGAATCAAATCTGCCATGAAATGGAAATTACTATGTAATTTGCTTTTTATGGTGGAAGTAGTCAAGATAAAGATGTTTTTCTTCGAGTCATGTTGTAAGAATAAAACCATACTGTTTAAATGTAAGCTAGATCTCCCCCTAGCCAGTTTAAATTATTAAACAGTGTAATTTAGCTCATTTGGAGGGTTTTACAATCTTTTATACTATCCTTTCTTTCCTTGTCATTAGACCAAGCTGTGCTTACATTTTCCCATTTTAATTCCAAGCATCCAAATCAAGGGTATATTACTTTGCAATGCCTTTGGAGAAATCCATATCAAAGTTGTTGTATTATGGTTGTGCAATTTTCCATAATGGTCATGTAATTTTTCGTAATGGATGTGATACTTTCAGAAATAATCCTATCGGATATCATAGCTTCTAATGGGAGCGAATAAATGTATATCAGATTAAATTATGGCTAGATCCGGTTATGCCTCGGAACGCCGGCCTAGTGGATGAAGGCGGTGCGAGATTGTGGTGATACAAGACAGAAAATAATAGGCAAGATTGTGGTGATGATGAAACAATGGAGAAAGAAAGCTAGAAATTAAGAAATGCTGGCTATTGATTTGTATAATGGTAAAAGACAATCATACGAATTGCAATATTTTGGACAAGTACCCAAGATCTCACTTAGAATTTGTCTTATTCATATAGTCAGATCTAGAGTACTTGCCCTTTTTGCTTGATTTTTGTTGCCATCCCCTTCTGTCTTCAATCTGCTAAACTTTGAGGATGGTGGTGAGTACAAAGAGAGAGATAAATCACTGTTAACTTCAGTGCTGTCTTGCAAACTTCGCTGGCTATCATGATCTTTTGTTGGTGTTAGCTTCAGAGACAAGTCCAAATCTAGATTGCAATCTGCAGCCTTTCTTTTCAGTGTCTTCCACTCTTGTACATCAGTTGTTGATTTTGAATCTGAAGAGAGACACCTCTTAATTAAAAAAGCACCACTCTCCCCTACTTCGGCTTGCATTTGAGGTTTTGCGCTAGCCTCAATGAGGCTTGAACTTGATTGGGATTGCCAGAGTTTATTATTGTGCAATGGTTGTGGTAATTGATCACCTTTTAGCTCTTCATTTTTCCATTTAGATTGTGCACTCAAAGAAGAAGCACCCATTTGGAACTTGCAAGAATTGGCACTCCAGTTGCTATTATTGTTGCTGCTTGCAAAGATCCTCTCAGCTACTGTTCCATAGAATCCTGTTCTTGTTCCATCGATTAAACACCGACCCACATGAGGGTTATAAATAAAATGCTCACGAGTATTCCAAGAAGCATCTCCATACCTTCAGAAAACAGGAATTTTTTTGTTTTTTTATGAATAAAGAAACATACTCGTAATTCATCAAAATAGAGAACAAGAAATGTCTATGGATTACATATATGATACCTGAAGCTAGTATTATGGCGTTGGTTATTGTATCCTTGCAGCATGGGAAGTTGGCTGAGGTTATAAATATTGCGATCTCCACTTTCCACAAGATGCCTATGATCAGCCATGCCTGTCATGTAATAAAAGGCCACTTTTTGGATCAGAACCAAATAAACAGACCCTAACTTTGTCCTTCTCCCTTAAACAAGCAGACGAAAAGAAGAATGGAATAAAAAAGTTCAGTTCAGTTACCTTGACTTGGATCATCTACCTTCTTGCTTCTATACATCTGATGAGGATCCCAAGAAGGCAAAGAAATGGAAAATAGGAAAATTAGAACATGTTGAATCACTTTATGGTATGTATATAATGGACAAAATACAAAAGCATATTTCCAAGGAATTATTAGGAAATTAATCCTAGTTCTTCAATAAAACTACCTGTAGATGGCTCTTGACATGAGCAATGCTAAGTCCGTTAACATTCATTAATTGAAGAACCAGTTTAGGAGTCGCTCCTGCACCATAAAATAAGTAACAAAAAAGTTAAGAAATCTTCACTATTTGCTGTACAATTAACAACTCATAAGAATGGAGAATTTGAATCCGAATTTTATGACCGACATGGGAGGATTTTTCCATGAAAAAAAAAGCGCAAAAACATAGCTTCTTAACTTACTTTCTTGGCCACCAAGTCTTTCCACAGCTTTAATGAAACAAAGATGAAGCTCTGGTGTCCAACGGAGCCTTGGCATCTTGGATCTAACATAGGGCCTCACTGATGAAGACTTCTTTTCGCTCTCTTCGACCGTGCTGTTGCTTGAACTTCCTCCCTTTATAGGCCTACTTTCTTCTTCATCATTTTCTCCACTCACACTCTCGTCTTGATCTTGAAGAGATGCACTTGTTTTTGAACATCCAGTATGGTTGCTTTCCTCCATATGATCTTTCCTTCTGGCTCCACTCCTGTCTTTCTTCCCAAATCTTAGTCTAAATCTTCACTTTTACCTGACAAAGACAACTTCATAGCTAGAGATTTAAGGGCTACATACAGAATTACAAAGCTATAAACGGAAAAGGAATTAGGGCCCCTAAGAAGGTGACCATAGTTAACCATGTACCTTCTCTCCTCCTACTCCATGATAGGAGAGAAAAACAGTTGTTTAGAAGACACGATGCATCGATTTTGGTAATGAAAACCCATCAACTAAGCGAGACAAAAAAGATTTGCTGTTCTTTGTGCAAAAAGAGGGGATAGGAACCCTAGATGTTGACAAAGAAGATAGTCTCTCCCTCCTCCTCTTGGGACATGTAAACAATTATTCACCTAAATTTTTTGTGTTCCATTAGATTATTATTTTATATTATATGATATGATATGATTTCTCGATCTCTCTATACTTAACATGTGATGCTGTACATGTATGGATGGATGTCATGCAAAGCAAGAAAACACATACCAGCTATAGGCAGAAAAGCCTTTCTCGTGTAGAATAAGAAAATTTTTCCTCCTTTGCGTTCTGGTCCTTAAGTGGGCGGGGCCTCAATTATGGAAAAAGGAAGAATTGTTGGAACTTATACCAAATTCCTATTTGAAAATTATTTCAGTTTTCCTATTTAATAACTAGTACTATTAACTTCTTATTGTAAATAATGATTTTTTTTAGTGTTTCCTGCGTAACATTAAAAAAACTCTTGGATTTGGCCCGCTTTGTGAAGTTTTGCATGAAAACCACAGTTGGGAAGGTTTATATTATATAGTTTTTATGAAGTCTTTTGAGGCATCATTAGAGACGATTATTGTGTAGTTCTTTTATGCGGGGTGTTTTTTGAAAATACGTCAATAACAGAGGTTATCAAACTAGGCAAAATACCATGAGGTAATGCTATGAATTTTAAACTTAATGACACACCAATCAAGTAAGATGGGTACAAATATATAGTAAAAGGCATGAGAAAAAAAAAGTGATACTAGCGAAACACAAGTTAGGTAATATACGGGTGGATGATCAAAGTTCAAATGAATTAGAAAGCATACCTCACATTGAATAGTTAAAAAAAATGAATAATATATAAAGTTGAGAAGGAGCTACTTACCATAAGGTTTAAGTTTTTTTTTTTTATGAAACTCAATTTCAATTATTTAACTTTATATGATATTGGAGCCTTAAAAGCCTAACGGCCTAATAAAGATTCAAGAACTCAAGCCTTAAAGACCTAACATTCCAACAAATATCCTAGAATCAAAACTACTTAATAGATTTTTAAAAATGGATCATTGCGGGTGAGAAAGAATATTAGACAACATATCCCATATTGAATAATTAAATAAAAAAAGATTAATAAATCAAGTTAAGAAGATGCCACCATCATAGGTTTAGGTTTTTTAGATGGAGCTCAATCTCAATTATCTAACTTTATATGACATTAGATCGTAACAACTTAATAAAAATCTTTAAGCTTAAGCCACTTAGTAGACCCCAAAAGATGGATTGCAAGTGACAGAGTGTGTTAGAAAATATATTAGATAGTTGAGATTAGATTCTTTCAAAAAAACTTAAGATTTATGGTGGATGGCTCATTTTAAACTTTATATATTATTCATCTTTTTTTTTTTTGTTAATACTCAATATAGCAAGATATGTGCTCTAATACTTCTACTCACTTACAATCCATCTTTTGAGATCTATCAAATAGCTTAGGCTTCAAGATATTTGCTTGGACCGTTGGACTTTTTTGAGACTATCATACCATATAGAGTTAAATAATTGAAACCAGTTCTATTTAAAAAGCTTAAGTCTTATGATGAATAACTCTTTCTCAATTTTATATATCATGCATTTTTTTCTTTAACTATTCGAGTGTAAAATATATGCTCTAACAAAATGAATAGAATTTTGAAAATTATAAGCCGTGAGAGTTGGAGAATTTTGAGAGTGAGTTCTATTTAGCATAAGGTAAGCAAAAGCTGAAATTCTCCTCACAATTAATGTGAGATTGGTGTTTATAGAAAAATAATGATAGTCCTTGATCGTTAATATTGAGCCATATCATCTAGGTTTGGACGATAAAATTTGAGTAAGAAAAAAAATTATTTTTAGATTAAATTACTTCAACTTGGTAGTAAATATTAAAAGAAATAACAATTAGGTCTTTCTTTAGCAAACTCTTTTTCGAGTTCATCAACAAATCAATATTCTTAATTCATGTTAAAAACAAAGCATTGACACTAACTCTATTAGAATATATTTGTCCATCTTTGGAAGGCCAAAGTTTTGTGCCAAAACTAATATATATATAACTAAATTATTTAATTAATTTTAAAAATAAATTGAGCATTTACATTCTTAATTTAGGAGATTTCTCTAACGGGTTTTTGTTTGTGAAGTTGTTTCTTGGGAGAATTAATTCGTATATAATTTTTTTTTAGCAGATTTGTTAATGTAGCTACTATATATGTTAATTATCAACTGTGAATTGTTTTTGGATTAGGTCAAATTCTTCAACTTTTTTGGATTAGTTCATTGTCAAAGCATGCTAGAAATTTGTGGGATTTTATTGTGTTTAGTTTGTTGAGGTTCGGGTAATAATAATGAGGCAAAATACAGTTTACTCTTTTTAGCAATGATTAACAAGTTAATTTTATTTCGCATGTAGTATAAGTTATGAGTGGTGGCTTTTATTAATTTGCACACCAAATTGGCAAATTCATGCCGGTTATGGTTTTCCCCTTTTAATTATTTATTTATTATTACAAAAGAATTATTCCAATTCGAGATTTCTTTTGGAGTACGAGAGTGTGATTCAAATCCTTTTCTTTTATTTATTTATTTTTGTCACTTCCTACATATTTAAATGCAAGACAGTACATAGTCAATTTAATTAGCTCTTTGCATATGGTACTGAAAACTTAAATGTTCGGTTTGGAACAATTCATTTGTTAAGTGCTTGTTGTCACTGTCTACAATGTTATTAGTTTTTTCATTCTTTTTCTAAAAAAGAAATTGACTAGAAATATTTTAAAAATAAATATTAATAATTACTGTTTGAATACTCTAAAATTTATTTATAGTATTTAATGTGTCCTCAAAGAAGAAGCACTAGTTGGCATTAATGTGATGATAGGTGAGACGTGAAACAAAAGGGCTAGCATATATGCGCAAAAATGTGTTGCTTGAAATTTAACTAATAAAGTAAGATTTTGTTGGGATGTGAACGTGTGCGTTTGATTGAGCAGTTGGGGATATCACATTTGCACGCTCTCTACTGCTAAAGTTTGCAACCCACTTTGGGTTGATGCATGTGTTTGATGCTCCGCTGTCTCTGATGCAGACACAAACTGATGATCGAAAGGAAATTGTCTTTTCTCAACGAATCACAAGATCTATCCTTGCTAGGGAAAATTGGAACTAATTGAAACATATGATCGTCACAATAAATTCTCCATCTCTCCTCCGGTTTTCCAAAGGAGAAAGTCATCATCAAGTTGCCATTCTTGAATGTCTTCAAAAACCGGCTTTTACAATTGTCAATTGCTTTTAAAAAGGTAACATCCATTGTTAAACATTTTACAGCTATTATACAACAACTGCAGAAAATTATACAAGTACCATTATTGAAAAGTGCTTATTCAAAACAACAACTTCCGTTTTTTTTTCTGTTTTTTCATTTCCGAAGGCGTTAAATGAATTGGATAGGATTAGAACCATATTCATCTTGATGCTTGCAATTATTAAAATTAATTCACCGAGATAATTTTGAATATTAATATTATCTCGTCTCTAGTTTGAACTTTTAGTTGGCGGATGATATTCATTCTATGGCTTTTATTACCCTATGTGAATAGGATTAATTCATCTCCGGCTTGGCCTGAAATAGTGGGACTTTCAATTTCAGAGGAACTTTTTCATTCCTCCCACGTGTATAGGACTTGGTATATATGAACCTGTGAATGGGATTACAAGATAAGGTAGACCAAAGGTTCTTCTTTTATGGTGTATCCTATCTATTCTTCACAGGGTTCTTGCCATACAAGAGTTGGAAAATTTTAATATTTCTTCATTCTTGCGGGGGAAAAAAACCGTAGAGAAGAGAGAATCGAATATTCTTTTAATTACTAATATCATGGTAAGTGTGATAGCATTAAATTAAATTAAATCGTCACTTTAGGTGCCATCTAAAAAACATGAGTTTTGTGATGAATAATGGATTCGTAAATTTATATATTATTTGTTTATTATTTATTTATTTAATAAGAAATAAATTCTTTAACAAGAATAAAATTAGAATCAACAATTTCTTGAAGTAATAGGGCTGCAAATGAGTCGATCTATTCATGAATTGCTCAAAACTCGATGACTTGCTAATTAAAGACTCAACCTGAACTTGTTTGTTAATGTTAAAGGATTAATTCGACCATATTTTTAAACTCGCTTTATAAATGAGTCGAATTTAACTTCTCAATTAGACTTGTGAGCTTATTTATTTATTATTTTTTTATTTGATAAGCGAATGATAGTAAATACATAGAGGAAGCCTGCAATAAAAATGAGTTATAAATTAGTCTCTCTGAATTAAGTAGTTTCACTTGTTTTATAAACTATTATTTAATCATTTGATTAGTGTTAATCCTACTTAATTTAATATAATTTTTATTTCATAAAATATCATCGTTTTTCATCAATCTTTTTATATTTCTTCCTATTTTTTTCTATTTTTAAAATAAAAATAACAAAAAAAATTAATTAAGTTATAAATAGATTTAAAAACATAAAGAATAAATGATTAGTTGTTGAAATAAAAGAAAATAATTAATTAATTTCTCAGAATAAGAGAGACTAATTTATAATTCACTCGAAAAAAAAAGGTGCAAAAAAAAAAAAAAAGCCATAACAATAAAACAGACTAACTAATAGAAAAAGAAAAAAAAAAAAAGAAAAACAGAAAAAAAAAAGAGTAGTGAGATTAATGACTCCTGGTGAATTAGATTTGTGAACTAGGCTTAGGTAGTCGCCAATTCTATTTGTTTAATATGTGTTATTAAATTATTATATATTTAATTTCTTTAGTTGGAACGTATCTAGTTCTTTTATGCTATACAAATTTATAATGATTAAAAATAATAAGTTCCATATTTACTATTTATCTTTTATTATATTGAACATTTTTCCTTAAAAAATTATTCTATAGCATCATAAATAAGTCATCAACTTAAACAAACAGAAAAATGTATGATTATTTAATAATTATGTAGAATAATTGAAATAAAAAAATGGGTGTAATAGTAACTATAATATTATAGCTCTTAAGGATTAATAATCTCAATTGTAAATAAAAAAATCTGCCATATAAACAACTACAAACTTATAATGTCCAACACCTTATAGACTAATTACATAGAAGTTTGTTCAGCCTTGAGTTTGCTTTGCAAAGTTGGACCTCTATTGTAACATCAATCACACATATTTTTTGTGCAATTTAAAATTTAAAATTACATAAAAAAAAAAAAGGAAACTACGTAAGAAAATCCAAATAATGTGGTTATTGTTTATAATAACAATAAATAACAAAAAAGAAAATAAAGAATCTAGATAGTATTTAATTGGTATATTGAATTAAAAAAAAAAATAGATGTACTCTCATGTGAGTTATAATTTCATATTGAATAAAGAATTAATATAAAGTTGTGTCTACTAAAATGGACCAATAACCCAATAGATTAAGCTTTTAGTTTACTTTTAAGTGTTGTATATACTAGAATGTATTATTTTTTGCTGTTTAAATGGATCTGGAGACTTAATGCATGTGGTGATTTTAATTGGAGTGAATTCATTTAGTAAAAAATATAATCTCGAATTCAAAAATAGGCCTTTTATTATTCAATTGTATATCCTCTCTAGTTTGGGTCGAATTTGTTCTTCTTGTGATATTGTTGATCAATATGCTCATTTGATTAGAGATGGGATGAGAAAAGTTATTGGTGATGGTTCAAACAACCTTGTTTTGAAAAGATTCTTAGGTGGATAGTATGCCATTAAGACATTCTTTTCTTTCTCTTTTTGCACTAGTTGATGATAAAATATGCAAGGTGGCAAACATGAGTTATTGTTACGGCTATTTTTGGTCTTGGAAATTCAAATAGAGGAGGCCAATGCATTTAAATAAGTTAAAACAAAAATGCGTTCAAATAATTTAAAACAAAAAAAATTCATCATTAGATATTGTTTCAAAAATTCATTTACACAACGAAGCTAATGATCGAATTATTTGGTTTTACGATAGAAAAGGTGTTTACTCATTTAAATCATGATGTGCTCTACTTGATGATGATCAAATTATTTGGTCTTACGATAGCAAATGCATTTACTTAGTTAAATCATGTTATGCTCTACTTAGTGATAATTTGTTAGGTAGTGAATCCCTTTATTCCCTCCAATGTATAACTATACCGACTCTATCAAAAGTTAAGGCTTTTACATGGCTGGTAGCTTTGGAGAGACTAAATACTAAGAGTTCACTTGCTGGAAAATGTACAATAGAAAAAGAAGCCAACATTTGTTCTTTTTGTAATTCGGATAAAAAAATGACTCAACATTTGCTTCTTCGTTGTGATGTCGTATGGATATATAGTGTCGGATTATGTCTTTGTAGGGTTGTATTTGAATTATACCGTGTATACTTGATGATTTATTTGTAGAGTGGGAATTTTTTTGTTATGAAGGGATGCAAAAAAAAGATACAATTCTTAGTTTTTTTTATGTAATTCTTTAGACAATTTGATGCGAACCCACCTAGCTCAATGGCTAAAGAACTCATGAATAAGAAAGAAGAATCTCGGGAAAGCCAAATTAGATTTAGAAAGGTATGGATACCACCCTCTAGATAGTTAGAAAGGGAGTGATAGATAAGTCACTTGAATGATATAAGAATTGATTAGATTCTTGATAGTTTCGAATTCGGCTCTAGAAAGAACTAAGGTGTGAATTTCTCAAAAATGTTGATTTCATTCAAAAGTTGATTATTCAAAAAATTACAACTTGTGTTTAGCTAAATAAGATGCTGAAAATTCAGAAAGACAAAAAAGTATTAAAGTCTATAGAGGATCTACAACTAGAATATTGGATCACTACAAAACTTTAAATAAACCTCCTTTAAGTTGATAAAAACTCGAATTCGATAGTAATTAGTGTGACTCGAAATTTGATGAATGTTGACTTAAAGAAAAAGTGTAAAATTCTGACTTTGAATTGACTTTGAAGTGGATTGATTTAGTAGCTTTAGCATTGCTAATCTTGGTCCAAGATATCAAAAAAAGATGGATCATAGAGATTGGACTTCAAGTCTAAAAGTTTGACTTAATAGCTTGGATAAGATTCACAAAGCCCATCTAATATTCTTCGGGCCTATAATAGAGAATTCAACCTACTTATATTGAATAAGCCCATTTAAGAACTCATGGATCTTCTTGGTCCTAACCCTTAGGAATTGATCCTTTAAGAATGGCTAATGGTTTGGCCTCATCAAACTCAAGCCCACGACTAGATTGTTGTTTGGCATTTGAAGGCCCACGGTCATAAGGTTATTCAGCCTTTAGAAGTCCATGGACGAGTAGCATTATTCAACCTCTATGTTCATATCATAATTTGGCAAGCTAGGAATAACCGGATCTTCAATGATGCTTGGCCAAATTGGGATCAAATGTTTTCTCTAATCTTTCATAAGGTAGTTTATTGGGCAAAATTTATGGATGGCCATTTTGTATACATAAGTAGCAATGTCAAGAGGTGTTTAGATTGTAACAAGATGTGGACTAATACTACTGTCCGTGGTTTGAGTTTAAGGAGGCTGAACCATTGGCCATTCCGGAAGGCTAAATTCTACAAGGCTAGGGCCAAGAACATTCATGAGCCCTTAAATGCATTTTTTCAACATAAGTGGGATGAATTCTTCATCAATGGGCTTGAAGAACATCATATGGGCTTTGCGAATCTTATCCAAGCTATTGAGTTGAACTTTTATACTTGAAGTCCAATCTCTATGAATCATATTTTCTTGATATTTTGAGCCAAGATTAGCAATGCTAAAGCTATTGAAACAATCCACTTCAAAGTCAGTACAAAGTTAGAATTTTAAACATAATTTTAAGTCAACATTCATCAAGTTTTGGTTTATCCTAATGGTTGTCAAATTCAAGAAGTTTCTACCAATTTTAAGAAAACTTCATCAAATCTTTATAGTGATCCAATATTTTGGCTGTGATTCTATGTAGACTTTAATCTTCTTTGTCTTTTTGAATTTTTAGCATCTTATTTAGCTAAAAACAAGTTGTAATTTTTAGTTAATCAATTTTAAAATCAAATCAATCTTTTAAGAGAAATTCACACCTAAGTTCTTTCTAAAATTAAATTTTGAACTTATCAAGAATCTAAACAATTCTTATGGTGTTCAAGTGACTTATTACTCCCCTTCTAATTATCGAAGTGTGGCGTCTATATCCTTTCGAATCCGATTTGGCTT